TGTGATCCTGGGACCCAGCGAGCAGAGAGGCCATCCACTCTCTGCTCCAGCTTAGAGTCCTAGCAGGAGGTTGGGGGGTGCACAGGGAGCCTTCTCCCACCTTGGGGGAGACAGGGTGCTGAGGAAGAGGGAGGAGGAGAATGAAGAAGTGGGGTGAGCTGAGCAAGCCAGGGTTCCTAGGAGAAGAGCCAGCCAGGATGGTCTAAAGGAAGTCTCCTATGCCCCTAGCCCTAAGAGGAAGGTGCCAGAGATTCAGGCCAGGGTCTGGAGACATCTCCATCCAACCTCCATCCAACTTCTTCAGTCTTGGGGAAGGCGAGAGGCAAAAATGGAGAGAAGGGACCTTGTGTGTGTGCATGTGAGCTTGCTGGAGTGTGTGTGTGTGTGTGTGTGTGTGTGTGTGGTGTGTTGGGGGAAGGGAGGCAGTTCCTTCCCCTAGGAGCCGGTGGGGACAAAACGCCACCCTCAGTTAGCACCAGCTGCCACTCACTTCCATAATCAGCTAAGTCAGATTATCCCCCAGAAAACAATCTGTAAAGGGGCAAAAGGAGCTTAGTCCTCAGGAAGCAGTGCAGCCCTGCAAAGCAGCTTAGGCAAAGCCCCAGGAGCCGAGACTCTTGACGTCACTGGTTTATTTAGCTAGGCCCCTGCTGGGCTGCCAGAATGCTATGTGGGCGGCTGCTGGGTGCCTCCCACGCTGGCTGCTCACCTGGGCCTAAGAGGACGCATCATGTGGCCCCGTGGCCAGGAAGGACCAGGGGCTCTACACAAGGGTTGGGGGGACAGGACAGAGCTGGGTTCAAATCCTTATCGCGTGATTTGAAAGCCCACAGACTTCAAGCTACTTCCCTAGCTAAAAGATCTCTGCCTCTGTAAGCAGGAACGACCCTGTCCATTCCCCCACCATCTCTGTGAGCATCAAGAATTGCCACAGGGACAAGCCTGGCTCTCAGGCATATCTAGGTCTCCACAATTTCCCTCTTGTGCTAAGGAAGTTACTAGTTGGGAAGGGCACAGACAGCAGGATCCCTAATCCCATCCGTAATCCGTAATCCATGTTTCTGACTCCCCTTGAAAGCAAAGACTGGAGCCACAGTGAGCCTCGCATCCATCCACCTGGAGTCAGGAGGTTGTACCCAGGACAGGGTTGGGGACTCCTATTTCTCCCCGCTGCAGCCCCTTCTCATAACCCTCAGTGTCTGAGGTTTGATTGACTCTATTAGGCTGGTCTGGGGCAGCACCCAAGTGTGTACCCATAGACAAGAGGTTAGGGTAATGGAGAGATGGAAGAAAGAGCCTTGAGGTCTGAGCCAGGCTTGCTGGAGAGAGAGAGAGAGAGAGAGAGAGAGAGAGAGAGAGAGAGAGA